GTCTGAAATCACTGGGCCCTGTCCAATGCGATCGTTTTGTCTTTACTTCTACAGGTACAGTATATGGAACTCATGGGAGACGAGGGAGGCAAACTTACACCAGATACCAAACGCTAGAGTTAGAGAAGGAATTTCATTTTAACAGATACTTAACCCGAAGACGACGTATTGAGATTGCAAACGCTCTCTGCCTTACTGAACGCCAGATTAAAATATGGTTTCAAAACAGGCGGATGAAATGGAAAAAGGAAAACAAATTCATAAATTCCACACAGCCCAGCAGCGAAGAAACAGAGGAAAAGTCAGGGGAGTAGAACCACGTTTAATAAACGCTACCAGGCCTTTCCTTAGCGCTTGCTATTACTATTATTATTTACCTTGTGTTCCTTCTGCTACTAAAATCCTATAGGTTTGTCACAGTCTATTAATTCCCAAAAGGCTTGGTTAAAAGATGTACATTTGCAATCATCTGTGACTTTCTTTAATATATGTGGAAGTCCTGGCTTTCGAGCTACAGGCGTGTATGTATATAACCACCTTTCCAAAGCGTAGATGGCGTTGCTTAAAGTATTAGAGAAATGGCCCAGATTTTTAAATATTTGAGGTGAGCATCTGTGTGTGGGCGAGTGTCCCTGGCGTGCGTGTGTGAGAAGAGATAAGCGAGTGATTTTTTTTAATTTTATTTTTTAATTAGAAATGTTCATATCGTAGAAATACGAGAGATTTTAGAAAATCTCGGGTTTATGTTTTTGCTAACTCCCACTACGACGGGCCGTCTCGTTATGCTGTGTTTGGGAGCTTGTGGTCTGCAGGGGAGAAAAAAAAGTTTTACGCATGGATAAGATATTTAAATAGCAAAAAGAAGAAAAATCCTTTTAAAAAATCGTTGTATAAAACCCTGGGTATAAACTTGCAGTTAAAGCGAAGATGAATTGCAGGGAGATTTTTTAAAATGCCGCTAAACTGCCTAATCTGCACTACTAGTATTAAAGTAAAAACTCGGCGTTAAACTTCAGGGGAAGCGAGGGAAGAGGTTTCGGAGCAGGCGAATTTCTGTGGTTCCCGTTGAGCTTACACTGAGGTTTCGGTGAGCTCAGCTCTACACTGAAGGGGCTTTGAATTATGGACTACATTTCTTGGGGCTTCGTGGGCTTGGGTCGATCTTTCTTTCTTTTTTTTTTTCCTTTTTTTTTTTTGGTTTTGTTTTATTAAAAGAAAAGTGTCTGCCGTATTAACTCGGGGATCTTCGTCCCCGCTTTTGTGCTATCGTAATTCACATTCGCATTTCTTAGCACTGGAAAAAATAAATAGATACTGTAGAGAAAAGTAGCTGCCATAAAATGCTTCCACTTCGAGTTCTGTATAAGTAAAATAAGCGCAGCGAAAATATTGATTAATATATACGTTATATCTCTTTCTATTGTACTGTGTGTGCGTGAGTGTGCATGTGAAGCTGTGTACAAATACACTTGTATACGCATCAAGGCTCTTTTGTTTGGAAGGCAGCGCAATTTGGGCTACCGCTCTAAATATTTTAAAAGCCAAATCCGGAAAATACTAATGCAAAATGGCTC